CCAGGATTAAAAAAATATTTCCCAACACCACAGATCCGACTTTTGATGGTCCCCCAGACACGAAAAGCATACCCGAGACTTCAGGTTCCAGTCTAACGATCCGTGAGAATCCTTTCGTGACGGGCAGAAAATAACCAAGCCCCTTCACTAACCTGAGCCCCGGAAGTGCCGAGTAGAAATCGACATCAGGTAAGACGAAAAAAAAAACCATTAAAAAAGGGAGAATAAAAAGAATACCCACGTCCCTCCCTTTCAACGAGAAAGGCATTGAACTGACCCGTTAAAAGCCTCCCACCTTTTAGACCTGTCAAGACGAAACTCTTGCTCATTCACATTCGGAGTCACGTTCGGAAGTTGGGTCAGTTCGGAGAGTCGTGAGAATGTATTTGATTTAATTATTTTGTTTCTCTAAAGCTTGATCCAATCGTTCGAGGGCAGGTTAGGAAAAATCGATAGGAATGCGAGGAATTTCCCACGCTGCGGATCTGTTGCAACACAACACTGACACTTCCCTAGAGCATTTTTACATGCGGCCTCATCATTCAGAATCGGTTCGAAACCATCAATCACGCATAATCTGGCCCTCTCATGCAAGTACCACACCAGTCGCTAATGGCTCAGGCAGAGTACTAAGGGGGCCCCGATTTTTCTTTATAAAGTTTGTCGCAGAGATTTTCCCTTCAGCAGTTACGAGCTGCTGACGAGACCACTTAATAGGCTAGCATTGCTGGAAGGCGGTGGACAGGTCGCTCCGGAAGAAGAAACAGTGTATGAAAGAACACGGCGAAATAATTTGGGTCAGGATAAAAACTTACTATTTTGACACACACAAAAACAATAAGAAGACGACGATTCTAGATAATTCTTTTACGAATAGCCCATTTGCTCTTGATCCAGAAAAGTTGATCCATTTTCATCTAAAAATCCAAGTTGAGGTTATTCTATTAAGAAAAGAAGAGTCAACCTTCCTGTCAAATTTCCCACTTAAGTTGAGATAATTAGGTTACTTTGAAATTGTGCAAGAGCTAACTGCGAATAAATAGTCGAAAAATATTCCCCCAGGAAATGTGCGATTATAGATGCTCGTCCTCTTTGCAAAAAAAAAGCACATGTTCCTCCAACCTGATGTTTCAATCAAAGCACAGATAAATCTGCAGTTTCATCAACGAATTATCTGATCAGTGGCTCATATTTAAAAAATACACTTCATTTCATTTCTGCCAAGCAACGCAAAAATGGGAATTTTGGTCGAGCCTATCCCTCAGGGAAAATATACCAGACCGAACAGGTTATGGTGTCAAATGGCTTAGACTTCGTACAGTATTATCGACTGTCCATCGCAAATGCCGTTTCCCGCGCCATAAACGGACTCACAACACAACAAGGAAGAGAAAAAGAAGAGAAGAGGAAATCGTTTACAACAAACCAAAACCCATCTGTATTCAACAGAGGATGGAGAGAGAGAGAGAGGAAAGGAAAAAATATATGCACCACAGACACGCGGCATGAATACGCATTCCTCGGATATTTCCCTTCCCCCCGGGGTCCAAAAATCAAGCGCTAAAACCTACCCAGGATTTTATCTTTCCTTTGCAAAAAAATAATAATAATATTTCCTTCGTCATTATGGAGAAAAAGAAGAGATGAAAGAACTCGTCCCTAATCCGGTTACAGAAGCCTGTAATCAGAATCTCTTCCCACGACAATCAAAAAACCCCCAGAAATCGTGAGAATACGCAGCAACAAGTACTACTCGCAAAATCCGCGATGATTAAAAATAATAAAACAGAGATGAGCATCTCAAGTCCTTTAATCCATGATCATTATCATCGTGGGAACTCGGGGATTATTTGAGCAGCACTTGAGAGAAGTTCCTTTCATCTTTTCCCACCGAAAAATTTAATAGCCTACCAAGAAAAAGCTGCGATCGGTGAGGCATCGTATTTACTTGAGATTGCACTTTTTCAAAACATGAAAACTTCTTCCGCCGATTAAACAACATGTGGACGAAAAGATATCCAGTCAGAATATATTTCATTTCCTATGTGATTTTTTTTCAATGTTATTTCAGTATTCCGTGGATTTTCCACAATTTCTTTCATGAGACGTATTTTCCAATTTTCCGAGGCCGGAACAGTTTTTGTCTCAAATTGGCGAAAAAAAGCCTACTGACTTCCAAATAAAGAGCTTCGTTAATTTATTTAGTTTGTATTCCAGTAAGTAAACGATGATCTATTCTAAAAAGAAGAACATTGGAAACATCAACACTTCTGGCGAAGGTCGTTGTTCGTGGTTTGACAAGGAAAAATGCTGATTGCTTCGTGTTATAACACCCAAGGCGTGAAGTGAAACGCGTGGAGAAACGGAGTCTATCACGACGTCTTTCAAACGCTCCCAAGGTTTTTCTCTCACTTCGTTCGCTAAAGCCATAGAAAAATAATGAAGAAAACATCCTGAACTCGTTAACATACAAAGCGATCGTAAAAATCAAATCTCCCTCGAAGCCCATTAAAAGGATTAAATGCTGAGGACTCTCGTTATGTAAACAGTAATTTTCTTTTTTTTTTTATAATAAACACACGCGAAAAACACAGGGGCGGGAATGTGCGATAATCCAATGAAGCACGGCCTTCGCCACAAGGTTGGACACAATAGAGGGACAAAGGAGTGCATTCCAGCCATGATCGACCTGCGGGTGATTGATTTATCTTTTCTGTCTCTCTCCCTCTTTTTGAGGGGGTTCTGTCTTTTTCATTCGACAGGTTCTTACTAAGCATCCGTCACAACAGACGGGAATCGATCATCTGGTGATCTCCGAAACCCCCATTCGATTCATTCGGGCCACAAAAGCGGAACGAAATCAGGACAAGCAAGTGATGCCCCAGCGTGAGAAGGTTCTATATTTTTTTCTTCTTCTTCTTTCGAGTTTATCAGTCTTTACCCATTGAAAAAAAAAACTGATACGTTTCAGGGGAAAATTTTGAAGTGACAGGACTGCGAAGAGAAGCGAATCCACTTGTTTCTTTTGCATCGCATTCCAAGATTCCAGATTGTCAATCGCGTTATTCGCCAAAATACCATCAGTTGACGGTCATCGAGGAACGCGCGGGTTTCCCAGCTTTCCTTTTCACAGGTTTATGCTCGGGACGAAATTTTGAAAGGATTCAAAAATTCGACCACACTTTGATTATCAACTCGAGCGAAAATTTCAAGAATGCAAACATGCAACAAAAACCACAAGTGAAAACATCGAGAGCAGACCAAAGAATGCGATTTGGCAATCGCGGGCAGTTCGTAACTTTCAACAGAATCGCCGAAAAAATTAAATTATCCGTCAGGCGTAGGATTTTCTCTCCGAAGTGTTAAAATTGTCAGCAAACACATACATTCGTGTGTTGCAAAAATAAGGGATCATACTGAAGAAAATGCGGCTCATAAACACATTACCTATTTGAATTTTTTTTACTCCAAAATGTAGGCAAGAATGAGACGCATTCGCTCAAGCGACCATTGATGCAATCCTCATGGAATGTTCTTCGGGAAAGGAAAACATTCGTTGTAGAGAAGATTTCGTCGCAGAGAACCTCCATGACATAGGGAAAGAAACCTTTACTGGACCAAGAAAACAAAGTCGTAACACAGAAAAAAAATCGTAGTTCACAAAATCGCTGTAAAGAGAGTCCACTTGTTTTCCGAAAATATAAAGGAAAACTCAGATACAGGTAGACAACTCTCATTACAACGAAATTGAACGGACCAGAAAAAAATTCGTTGTTGAAAACATCTTTAAAATGTTGGCAGAAACCTTCCAGGACCAGGAGAAAAATCGTTGTGGAGAGAGTACGCATCTATTTGAATACATAAACCGTGTCAAAGTTCTAAAGAAAAATTTTTGCAAAAGAATGTGTGCGAAAATATTCCCCCCCCCCCTTTTTTTATTCACGTGAAAACGTTCAAAGGTATGGTAAGTACAGTACAGTAGTTCGCTTCACTGATGGGGTGGCTGCTCAGTACTCAACTGTTACACAAACAGTTAGGTGACCTCGTGTGTACTGCACAGGACTGTACCTCATCACAGCCATGCATTCCTCCCTTTTCGTGTACATGCGTGCTTTTGTTGTTGTTTTTTTGCGTGTGTGTGTGAAGATGTGGACTTACCTTCAATTTTTCGACAGTGCCGCAATGGATGCAAGAGTAGACGAGAAAATCTCGCCAGTCCGCGGGCTCCACGATGTTCAGACACTCCTCATTCACTCCGTAATCGCTCTCAGACTCCAGCAATTTCCTGTAGCGGACCGCCAGGGCGGACCCGGCATCGCCCCGCAAACGACCCATGATGACCCCGCGAAACGGACCTGAGGCCGCAGAACGCGATTCCACGATTCGTCTTGGTTCCAAACGACCAAGTGAAGCAACAACAACGAGGGGAAAAAAATATCCCGAAAGACTCGAACTCGCTCTGTTTTTGTTGTTTTTTTCCTTCTTCTCCTGTTCCGTCTTTCTCTCTTCACAATCTATCAAAAGTCCCGAACTCGACGACAAGCGCGAAGAAATTAGGGACCGAGAAACGGTGGAGAGAAATAACGCGACAAAAACAACTTCTCCGTTTCCGTTCACGCGACTCGACGATCACCTTGGAATTTGAAAAAGGCAAAATTTGAATAAATGCATAGCTCATCAGGACCCCCGTCGGAAAGTGAGTTTCGCAACTGCACGCGAATGAGACACGAATCGCGCGGCTCCGAGTGTCCGACAAAAGTTCTTCGCCATATGACTTTTTCACACGGATTTCTGAACTATAAAAGGTCACGCAAGTCAAAAAACCAATTGAACACATTCGTGCTACATTCAAACTGAAAAGTATACACGCATATTCTTCCTTCTTAAATCCAAGTATTTTTACTCCTGCTAAAGCGTCCTTTCAACGTTTAGAAATATTTCTTATGCGCGCCTCCGCGGCAACAATGTAAAGCAAACTAAACTTGAATAATACCCGACAAAAAGGTTCAAAATCACGCCCAAACAATAGTCAGGTCAGCCTTTTTTAACTCATATGGATTTACAGATGAACACAAATTCAGAAACACAAAATAAATCCAATCTAAGCCAGGCAAAGACATGAAATACGGCACTGAATTTATATCCCACGAAAATCTTTACAGACGAAAAAAAAAAACCAACACTCAATACACTAGTGTAGGCATTTGAAAAGCTCTTTCAGGACTACTGTATAATTCTCTCACGGGGAATATTACAGGTGCAAAAATACAGTCGTAGAAAAAATACCTTGGACTAAATTCTTTGGTTCTAGGTCAAAAGACTCCAGATCGTCTTGAGGGGAAAAAAGCCGACGCACCGATCAAGTCATTCTTCCCGCAGCTTCTCAGTACTTATCAGTTTCGGGTTATGCCTTTTTTATGTACAGTACTACAAAACTAAACGAATGAAATGCCACAATGGTACTCGAAAAAGTATGCTCGGATTTGTTTCGGGGCTCAGGAGGAAAGCGGCCGATACGAAAACACCACGACGAAACATTCCACGGAATGCAGTACGATTCTTTATCTCACGGATTTCCATTCCTGAAAATGTTTTATCTCTATCGCATCATTTTGGCAGTGGATTCCAACACACATTTCAAATGGTTTTTTTTTACACTACTCTTCGATAATGACGAAAAAACCGATCACACGTTACGAACAGTATCCAGTACAAAAACTAAAAACGTTTGTTATTAAAAACGTGGAGGACGAAATACGCTGAAGTGCGGTGGTAGAATGCAGAGAACGAAAATCATATGCAATTATCCAGCATTAAAAGATAATTCTTTGTGTTGAATATTTACAGTGGTTTCCATCAAATTTCGAGTCAAATCAACCCGAAAACACAGAAAACAAAGTTTCAATAGGAGATACAAATTATGGTTCTTTTTTTCAGTGATTTTTCGTTGGGAGTCTTTCATAAGTCGTGATCTCGTGAACTGCTGCTTATCCATCAAGTACAGGGCAATCCTCACGCCTGAAAAGGTCTGTCTTATTCCGTGGTCGTTTTCGCAGCGGGGGCTTTTCGTCCGGGTGCTTTTTTTTCTTTACTATGTCAACGTTTCTGCAAGTAGCTCTCGGACTGCGCCACTTTTTATTCCTACACGAAAAAATGCCGTTCGCGTTCCTTTCTTGATTCTTTTTTTTTTTTACTCGGATTCTGCGGATGCCTCGACACAGGCGGTCGGATGCCCCGCGATCCATCGGCCCTCCTTTCATTCCTTAACTCACTTCCACAAAGTTCCAGAGAGAGTTTGAAAACTTCTGATGGACATCAACCCGGGGAAAGAAAGGCGTTGAGCTGGAGACGACTGCGAGGAACGAGGAAAAAATACTTTCACCCCGGAGCTGTCGAGAATTTTTCTCTCTTTCTAGCTAGCGTATCTCTCAACGAATGCCCGAGGAAGAGATCAATTCATCATCGCAGAAAAAAAATTTTGTTAAATAAAGAAGAGGTTCCGTGATCAACGAAACGGTAACTCTCCGGGCTGCGTGAATGCGAATGTTCTCCAGAGTCACGACACGAAACTCATGCTTTAACCTGTCCACTTTTTCCTCCAACTACCGCAAAAATATGCACGCACAAAACAAAATTAACGAAGAGTTCTTCCGGCATGGGTGTCACGAATCCCCGTTATTTCACTTCCCGAGGATTAATACCCACGAGTTCCGCAGTCAGAAATCACGAGAAATCGGTACTCGAAGAAAAAACCCGCGAGGAGTCACACAGACTGAGAAAGACCCTGAACCTGTGCTGGAGACACACTGACTTGCGGTTCCACAACTTGTATATTCGATGCCGAAAAACGCAACACTGGGGCAGAGAGAGAGGAGAAAAATGGAGCGACATAGTCGCGACCACATTCCAGCAGTGGCCGCAAGCTGGTAACGCTGAGGCAAGCCTTCGGCACCAGGGCTCAGCCCTGTCTGCGGACGCGTCCGTGGCGCCCTCGAGAACGTATGGCGCACTCCGGCGAACGAAGGCGCGCGCGCACGCGGACGAGAGCACATAGTTGCGCCCTGTCTGCCCGGGCGCTGTTCAAGGTATGGATGCACAGATTTCTGGCATAGGCATTTCATGCAACTGCTGGCGGGCGAATACCGCACAAAGGAATGCCAGGGATGGGTTCTTGAAAACAAAAATTTTTGCCACTCACTATCTTGACATTAGTTCTGTTTGTTAGCATAGCTTCTGAGTCAGAATCACAGTGTAGGGATTGAATAAAACTAGAAGCAGGGTTCCAGTACTCCCAAGATTTTCTGTGATTGCAGCCTTGGCTTTGCCATCCACAATCAACCCTAAATGTAGCTCAAAATTTGTTTAGTGCCAACAAATATCCGTGTATGGATGGTTCCCTATTTACTCAGTAAAGTAGAATTTCTTTTTTTTAATCTCATTATGACAAATTAATGCTTAAAAATTTGTCTTGTGGTCCCTATTCATCAGCAACAATTTTATTACAACGAATTTTCATTTATACGAAAGCTTTTTAAAGGTCCCAATTGCTTTGTTGAGACAAGAGTGTACTGTAACAAAAAATCGATCATTGATAGATGGAGGCACTAAATTGAAGACATGGCCAAGCTGAGATTAGTGACAAGAAATTACTATGATGGAATAAAATTTAAGGTACTGTACACTGCACATATTGTATGCAAGGTACCATCATAATGAAGGATTCCCTCAAAGTAAAACATTTTTAGATTGATCAAAATAGTTGGTAGGAATTAAGACTACCCTTCAAATTTGAAGAACAGGACAGTGCTGGTGGTCAAACCTCATTTTCATAAATAAATAGATTAGTTTCCAATGCCAATTTATTCCTTCCAATCCAACTGGGTTCACAAAAATTGGGAAATATTGGGGAAATGATTGAATTTCACTCACACCCATCTTCAATCTTCTTACAACAGAATTACAAGCTTGACCAAACGTAATAACAACAAACCTTAGTAATTTAGCGTTGAATAACCGAGGCTGATATTCTCATGAAGACCGCTAAACACCAATCACGACCTCTACAACGATATTCTCCCTACACAGAATTTGTTGATCGTAATCTGAGTTTCAACTTAAAGAAAGAGAAGTTCCTCTGAACGTTCCGCTGCTCAGAATAAATCCCACGCACGAGAGAGAGAGATTACATTAATGAATGCTCCATGATCCTAAATCACACAGGAGACCCAAATATTGGCACGGTACTGCGAAAGGAACCCAGCAGTAAGTTTTCTTGCCTTCTTGGCGCTCCTCGGCTTCGGTAGCGCGTTGTGTGCTGCGTTCCTCGAACGCCGATCCGGGACAGGGATCCGTGTCTCGCGGCTTGCAACACTCGGCGAGTACCGCGCCTGCTTGTGAAGCGAATCGCCTTATTCCTCACGCAGTTCACAACTGCAACATATCATCCTATCCTCTCTCCTATCCCGCCCGAAAAATGTGTTCGGCGGATCAACTATTCATCTGGAAACATGGAACAACCCCACAGAGGAATTCCTTTCTTGTTTGGTAGAAACGCGCGGGAGATTATATCGGGGCTTCTCGAAACCGATGGCATCTCATATTCTAGTAAATACGGTACTCACGAATCACAAAAAAAGTAAATTGAGGGGAACAAGTTTTCTCGATTCTCATACAGTACTAGTACTGTATACGCATTCTCAACTCCAGAAAAGCATCGAATTTGTATCGAACACGAGATTTCGTGCAACCGTTCTACTTTGGGGCTAATTCTACAAGTGGGTCCCTGCTCTACGAAAGTGCGACAGAACAAAATATTAATATGCAACATTTTTTTCCGCAAAACATAATATTCCCCTGATGCCTACCCCTCTAGGAAGATATCCAAACAAGCTCCGATATAGAATCGAAAGGTTCGGGGGGAAAATTTCATCAGGATACATAAAATCTCATCATAAAAAAGCCACTTCAAACATTTAAAACACCTTTGCTACGGTAAAAAGTGTCCTCTAAAATGATGTTCAAAGGGTGAAACATTCTTTGGTATCGATCAGACTAACACGATCTTCTCAAAGAGAATTGGATGACAATCTTCAATCCAAAATCGAAAGGTTTGGGGAAAAAATTCATGAAAATCGTATCATAAAAAAGCCACTGAAACCTTTAAAGCATCTTTGCTATGATTTAAAAAATGTCCTCTAAAAAGATGTTCTAAGAGGGAAACATTCTTGGGTGTCGACAGACCCGCTATTATTGAATATGCAGCGTTTCAAGCGCAATCTTTTTTTTTCTTTCAAAAATTGCAAGAACAAAAAACTCGGGTGCAAGGTGTCTTCAAATGTGACGATGAGTTCAATATTTAAACCGCGTAATATTCGCAAAAGAATCGGATGATCGCTTCTGAGTTCTGACTAACACGATCTTCTCGATGAGAATTGTTTGAACCTTCTTTAAAAATATACCGTATATATCCTCATAATTTCAGTTCGCAGACATAAACATTTGAATAATGCAGGTGTTCCAGGAGATATATCTGAAGAATGGGTAGAATAAACGCACTTCTGACTCTCGATGAACTGGCTGCAATGGAAATGCGTCTCATCTTGTCAGCCAAAATATTTTTTAATCTTTAATGCCCATCCACCAACAATTTATATCAGAGCGTCTCAAAACCGATGGCATCGAATATTCGAGTAAATACGGTATACTCACTAATCACAACAACAAAAAGGAAGAAAGAACCATTCTCCATTATCTTCTCAACCCCACAAAAGCGTCCAATTTATATTGCACAGGAGAGTTCAGCAAAGTACAGTACTGTACTGTAAAGCACTTCGTGCAACCATTCCACTCAAAAGACCAGATGAAAAATGCCTCCGGAACAGGAATGAACTTGGCATCAGAGGCCAGCCCATCAGAATTCAGAAGTAAGGTTGACTCTCCAACATCACGCAACACACACCTCAAATCGGGAAGAAAAAAAAACCCCACCTTGCGCTACCCGGACATGGCTCATTCCCCCCCAAGGCTCGGGTCGGGTCACGGATTCCCCCAATCGCCGAGGCTCTTTCGACAATCGACGTCGAACGAACATCGAGCAAACCCACACACACACACACACACACATGGACTTACGCCCTGCGTGTGCTGAGCACCGTGACGAATCCTCCCAAGTGTGAGATGACGACGAAAGAAAGAAAGAAAAAAAAATTCATAGGAATAATAAATAAGTAAAACCTGCGGAGGCTTCGGAATTGTAAACCGCCTGGCCTTATTCAGAAATCCCCGGAATGCGTCTCGGTTTAATTTGCCGCGAGTGACTGGAGGAAATGCTAATGATTATCTCCGCACAACACATACACACACACACGGGGTTCTTCTTCTTCATTCTTAGTGGGAAGGCAGGAAGGAAGACACCTTTGGACCATCTCGTCAGCCAGATGCTTCCGTGTCCCGGTCAACTTGGGTCAGAGATGAAAAACGTGTCGAGGATCCGCGAAATATTTAAAAAATGGCACGTCTTGAGGCCAGTTCAAGATGATTGCGAGGGTTGGTATACACGCTAATCCTTCTCAAGTCTCGTAAAGGACATTCCTTTTTTTTTTTTGGACTTCTTTTTGGATATTTGGAGATGGACAAAATTTTTAAAAATTCAAATTGATTATACGATCCAACAATTCTTAAAATTTTTTGCTCAGTCAAATTGGAAGAGATTCATAACCAAGAGTTGAAAGAGCTTTGCATCTTTCTTAGAAAACGATTTTTTCCTCCCGAAGGTAAAAATTCATCGCTGTAAATTCATTTAACGAAAAGGTCGAAAACGAAACAAAAAAGCACTTGAAATGAATAAAAATCGTCTCAAAGACAATATCCGAAATAAGACAGCTCTTGAAAAATATATCGTGTCAGGCGATGTTTAACTCAGCCATACTGAACATGAAGCTGTCCTGAAATGTAAAACTGGAACTGGCACAAGTCAGAACTTCAATTGAATAAAATCTTGGGAAGAAAAAAAGGCTTTCTTAGGTTTAACGCAATCTGAAAGAATATCAGTCAGAAACTTGGCAATCAAAAGAACTCACTTCCTCACTTCCCACGTATTGGAAACTACAGTAATGCATTTTTCAACTATCCTTCGATCATTTATCGTATCATCTAATGCGTATATTGTGGAGATTTTCCTTCTCATCAGACTCCTGCAAATTTAACTCCACGAAGACGTTCTTTAGGTAGCAATCGAAGTCTCTGCATATTAATTTCAAGCTGTGACGTAGTTCTTATTCCGTAAAAAAAATGTTTAATAATGAGATAAAAGTGTATATTTTGTGCGCCTTTTGGGTGACACAGTCGATTTAAAACGTAAATATTTAATCGAAGTCACGCAAAAATCGTTATAAATAAAAATCACAATGCAAGGAAATAAGGACATTTCAATCAAATTAATTGAGTACTACAGTACTACAGAATTTCCCACGTAAACTGGAATTTTCTCTTTATAGAGACGCGTTTTTTCATAAAACGACACAGAAACAAAAAAAAAGCCTTCTTGATGAAGCAACCGACAACCTCTTCAGATGACCTCAAGCGTTCACCATTTCACCCCCCGAAAAAACACCCCCACCAAGTTCAAACATGGATGAAGCTCAGTAGCAAATCCTTCACTTCTTTTCCTTGAAAAAATAAAAAAAATCCCAACAGGAAAAAGGCAATTACCAAATAAAACCCTCCTCCCGGTAGCAGGAAATTCCAGTTTACTGCAAGCACCGAAAGTTGCAGACCGCGTGTGAAAAACACGCGGCGTCCGGCAAAACAACCTGAAGCAACCGCCATCAACAACCGCCGCATAAAATGCAAACAATTGTTTCCGGTGCGACCGAGAAGAAACCCCGTCAACGTAAGACCGCCGCCACCGCTGTGGTTTATAACCACCACCAGTTAATTGTCTCAATCTCCCAACGAACCTTTTTGGATTGATGGACCAGATACAGACGAAACCGGAGGCAATAGAAACATAAAAGGACGAATCTGTCAGGAAAATGTACCACGAGCGATTAAAATCGCAGACCCACCAATTTCTCGCGTAAAAATGAAATACAGTATCTGCATTTTTTTAATATATAAGCATAGAAATAGAGACATTCTTTAGACATAAATGGGAGTACCTTCTCCCCCTTAAATATCGACAATTTGGTCATGCTTATTGTCATTCTTTCTTCGCAGTGATTTTTGTGAGATTTTTTTTATTGCGTTGTGCAGATTTTCAATCTCACGACTCCCACATTTTATGAGTTGTGTGAGACATGAAAAAGAACGATGAGTGTTTCTGAGAAAGAAAAAAATCTCGCCACAAAGCAAGTATTCAAGTCCCCCAACTCGGCTAATTACATGAATGATCGCAGAAGAAAAGCCCCTAGACAAGGAAACGATTTTTTTTTTAAACACCGAAACAAAGATCAATAAAAATAACAAGGAAATAATTGTCCACGAAACAGCACCGAGACATCAAGTACGACGAGAAAATCGGATCAAATTTATATTCCTGCAAAAAGTGACACTACCGTATAAATGTCTACAATATTGCTCAGTACTTCCTTCCCTTTAAAAAAATATTCCTCAAATAAGAAAAGAATAGATCAGAAAGAAAAACCCATCGCGAAGAAACAATATTTCGCCTCAATAAAACGAAGAAACATTATTTGGCATCACGTGCTTCGCAAGATGAAGACAACGAAAACAAAATGCTTCTGCGTGTAAAATTTGGCGTTGCATTCCTCCAAACGCAGTCATGGAGAAAAGCTTTTCCCGAAGATTTGCTTCTTTTTTTTTCGCTGGTTACCGGAAATAGAAGAAGAAGAAGAAAGTGATTTGAAAACGTAGAAGAAGCAGTCCCCGAAACAAAGACGATACTCACACCAGGGAACGAAAAAAAAAATTAAAATAAAACCCACGCACGGTTGACCCCCTTGTCCGCCGTCACGTTTCCGACAACGACGACAAAGACCTCAAGTTATTTCTTCTCCTTTTTTCCGGTATTTCTCTTTAACTTTCCTGCTTGTTTTTTTTTTTTTTTTTTTTTTTTACTTCCCACCAGACCGGAAACACAACACAAGAGGGACAAGGCTTTCGTTTCTCCGCGGCGGCGGCGGCAGCTGGCGACAAGGAACGCGTTCCCGGCAACGACTTCGTGGTGAATGAAAAATTCATCGGTCAAACCCATCTTTGGGCATCGGTCGTGCATGGCACCTGGTCAGCTTGGTCACCCCGCATGGCACAGTATATCTCTTTTGAAAATCACGCACATGGGCCAATGAGTGTTGCCAATGCAGGCAGGTTGATCCCGAGAGAACTTGGCGCGAGTCACGACAATATCGTTATTAACGTACTCGAGTACCACAAGAACCTTTTCTTCTCAAATTTGAGAAGAAGAAGAAAGGGGAGGGGGGCGCGTCATAGGCGAGTATACATTTTTCAAATTGTTTTTCTTTTAAATGCAGGTGTTGTGCACAATATTTGATTCCCAAGAGGAAATTCAGGACCAACGGAAAAAAGTTTAACAGAAAAAGCGCATTCTATCGGAAACGATTGAAAATTAGTCAAATTGATGTTCGATTCATGGCTACATGCAAATGTAGGTGTTACTATTTTTGAAATATTTTTTGTTTTGTTTTAGAGCGACTAAAACGGGGTTCGCGTCTCATTCGGGGCGCGAAATACTCTAGTGAATTCTTTAAAGCTTCATCAACATCAACACCGGGTTTCGAAAATTTAAAGATTTCTTTTACCATTGAAAAGGTGAAAACGAATTTCAAGGAGCCCAGTAGGGGGGTTTCTAGGAGATAAAACCTCCTGCATTGAAGCACAATTAAATTGACGGTATTTTGTCAAGAACGGTAACTTTTTCAACGACAGTTCAGAACATGAAAAGTACCGCATATTTCGGTAATCCTTGCCTAACATTGCGATGAAAAAAAAGGATCCAAATACTGTACAGTATCTGAAAGTGCTACGAATAATCTGGAATAAGATGCATACATCACAACACAAAATCTGGCCTGTAAATGAAGTTTCGATCTAAACCGGAGAAGGGACAAAAATTAATCATAATCCGAGCCGATGGGAATTCTACGTTTTTTATATGTGATACTAGAAATGAACGGAATTCGCATCACATATACAGTCCTTTTGAGCTTTTCTTGAAAGACATTGTACCATAATTTGATAGATTTCATGCCGATGCGCCATGAAATCTGAGTTGAAAATCATCATTCCCGCCGAATAATTGAGAATACAGCATCGGGCATTCATTTGCATGAATAGGAAACGCATGGTATATTTTACTACCATGGAATCACTAAAGATTATAGGAAACGAAAAATAAGAGGTATCCACTTACTTCCACTGAAAGGAAATGCAAATGAATCGCGGGGGTAAAGAATTATCTCGTGTTGTTGTTGTTGGTGTTCTTGCTCTTCAACCATTCATAACTTTCCCACACGTTTTCGGAACCATTTGAGAATACGAGTCTTCTTCTCAATGAACCTTAGTGACACTGGGGCAAACGTTGGTAACCGGATCGCGGAAACCTCGACGACTTTCATATTTTTTCCCACCACCGCAACTCGACACAAGATCCTTCTTCACCTCGTCGTCAGAAGGCTTTCCGAGCAACCCCGGGATCGACACTTCGATCAGTCATTTCCCTGTCCTTCCTCACATTGTTTCCGTGGTCACAAAAATAAAAATATAAAAGGAAGAGATTGATCTTTGCCGCCTTCCGGAAAATTTTTCAGCCGGTTGTCCTCGCCCCAGTCGCGACGCGGCGTTTGACGACGAGCGGCCAACACTCGGACGAAATGATTATTTCTGGCGATATGGGTATGGAAAAAAGCAGTAAAGTTTTCATCATTTTTGCGTTTAGGACATCGTGAAGGGCCCTTCGTTGAAATAAAGTGTCCTCAACATCAACTTGAACATTAAAAATGGTGTTTATGGGAAAGGCGCATCGAAATAAAGTCCAATTTTATTTCATAAGTTTCTCTTCTTTCCAGGAACAGCCAGTGAAATCCCAATTTTTTTGACTCGAGTACCACAGAT